TAATCGTTAACCACACAGTGCCCAACCATGAAGCGATACTGAGAAGAACCCTCAGATATAGCCTATCGCGTTCACACTCATCCTTAATCACTTTCTTAACTTTTTTACTGGAGGAATTTTCAGTTGATTCATCCGTAGCTTCATTAGTCCGTTTTTTACATACCTGTTGAATCAGATTGGGTTTCAACTTGAGATTCCTTTTCCTTCTCTTCTTCCCTGTTCCCATCTCTATCACCCATATCCACATCTTGATCTTGAGACGAAATCTTCTCACCCATATCCACGTCTCGATCCTGGGAGGAAATTCTTGGCGAATTAATCTCAATATTATAAAATTCATCAACTAGAGTCGATGTGCCACTTATTTGAGAAGATACAGAGTCCCGTCTCTGAGTTTCATCAACAACATCAACTTGGTACCGTATACATGTTTTTTTTTTTTTACAAAGACGTGTCCACATTCGAGTATAGTAAACGATTCGTATGTGAGTGTTAAAATTTTTTCCTTATATGTTGAGCATAGTGGCAGTTCTGTAAAATTGGCCGTGCCAGCTCCGCTGATATTTTGGTCAATAGTTTCACCCGTTTCCTTTAAAATATTATATGCAAAGGTTTTAAGGCCGGAAAGAGACATAATGGTTAAGAGTATAATCAAGTAACGAGATTGACCTTGCTTTTTTTTTTCACTAAAAATTATAAAGCAAGTAACAGCTCTTTTCTCACCGCCGAAACGAGTTTTATTTCCTGTAGCATCTAGTCTGTTATGCATAATATTTCAGTACGATGTACTGTTTTAAGCACCACCCGGACTTTAGGCGGAAAAACTTGAAAAACAAAATAAGCACCACCCAAAATTTATGCAAAAAAATTTTTTATTATATTTTTTATTCTAATTCTTCCTCTTCTAATTTATCAGCTGAATCACTATCTATATCTACAATTTCCCTTTCATTTTCATCAATTTCCTCCTCCATTTGTCCAAATAAATCGTCTTCTGATCCATCCATTGCATTACTAATACCACACTTTTTTAAATGACTTTATAATCATCTCTTTCAGAATTTCCGCCCAAGCCTCAAGAATCCATTTACAAATAACATTATATTCTGGCTTTCTTAAATTTCCACCTTGGTATAAGTAAACTGATCTGAGCTCATCCAACTATTCCATTTTTCTCGAAGTCTATCTTTAAATGGCTTATTTATACAAACATCAAGTGGTTGGACAATAGAAGTAAGACCGCCGGGAATAATTGCCGAATCAGTTTTATCACTTAGTGCAATATTTTTAATAGAATCTGTTTTATGGCCTTCAAAACTATCCATAACAATGTCAAGATTTACGATAAACACGACGTATTCCTCCGTGATTTCCGATGAGTTACACGAACATTTCCAAACCGCAGCATTCTCGTTAGAGAATGTACAACCAAGAAATGAAACAGCTAGATGAAAATGAGACAGATTTCACCCGATGCGGATGGATTTGTTTTATTTAATTTAATCCTCATGTATTTATTAGCTTTAGAGTATAGAACAGCGCAGTAAGCGCAGAACTC